CAGAACAAGGATATTCTTTAAGGAAGTTTTTGACTAACTTGAAGTGACCTAAAAACGGTATTATAAATACAGAAATCACAGAACAATGGCTGGTAGCCGGTATACAGATGGGCATAATTATTACCTTTTAAGAATTTTATGTGAGACAAATGTGCTTCGAGTGTCCTTTCTATTGTGTGTCGAACACATCTGTCTCATTTCCAATTTGTCGCAAATATGAATGTTTACGAACACATCGGTCACACTTCGTGAGACAAATGTGCTCCGAGACAAATGTGCTCCTACATTGCTTTATACATATTGATCAGCATACAATTACAAATCAGTGATGATCAACATTGCGCACTTGTTACATATAAATACAGTAGACTCAATATATCTTTGAAATGTACATTTTATGATTAACTGATCTTAAATTCTTATGTACTAGTATATTTGATATTGTATATTTTATGGCATTTATTATTACAGTTAGAAAATGACACTCTAGTCATTGGAAAAGATGATATAAGAAAAGTACTAGACGATGTGGCAACCATAATTCAAGACAAGATGAAGGCTGGATTAGATGATCAATATGACAGAATTAAACTAGATATGATAAAGGGAAAACAAGAAGATCTCTTATCTCTTGAATCAAAAACTGCCGAGGGAATGATACAGATTCAAGATAAAACTGATGCTTCTGTGAAAAGATTAAATGACGAAATGGACAAAGAAATTGATACAATTCATAAACAAGGAGATAAAGAACGAACAGACCTGGCTGAATTAGGAAAGACGTTACAAAAAGAACTGAACACAGCAAGTAAAGCCGAGAAAGAAGAACAGTATATTGATTTTAAACAAAGTAAGTGATATAACATTGTCAAACTATTTTATCACATGACTTCATGTTTACCATGTGATTATTACTATTACGAATTTTTTCTTCATTTCCGAGTTCAAAATGTCCATATCAAAACCATATTGCACACGAAGTGATTGTATCTGTAATATACATTCTTGCTATACTATGACACTTGATCTTAGGTGCCATCTTTAATTTAATGTCTATTAATGTAAAATTAAAGAGTTCGTGATTCATTGTTGAGCACCATACTTATTCTAGCCAATATATATTCAATGTTGCAAAATAATTGAATATCACTTTAACTTCACTATATATACTCTGTATTTCGCTTGAAAATATATATAAAGAAATAAAATAAACACAAAAAACTTTATAAACGTTTTCAAAATTTCAGCCTATTCGAAAAGCTTTTAAAGAACGTTGTTATCAGAAACTCTGAAACCACCAAAAATATAGTACAAATATAATTTTTTTCAATGGAAATAGATCTTGATTTTGAGTGATCTGTGTCGAACATATCGCACGGTATGGCGTTCAAATGTTTGTTATTGATCACTCAGGCCTACGAATACGGCCTTACATACCGTGCTATAATATGACACAGATCACATACATGTATTTCACAAATTAAACAGAAAACATCTTTACAAACATATTGATTATACACGTATGTTGATAATTCTTAATATTTTAATTACTTTAAACTAACATTATAAATGTTGACTACTATTAATTTTGTTTTATTTTTGGGAAATTCAGATGTGCTTAATTAGCAACAAAAAAGCAGTTTCAAGGAAAACTAGCGATCATTTAACATTAGAAGTGACACATAACATATTCGAGCATTAACCTCCCTTTTATAATTAACGGTAAATTTCTACATAATACGAGGGCTAATTGATAGATTCGCGGAATTATCATCTAAAAACCAAATAACATTATTGAATTACAAAATGTTTGCAATTACATGTCCATATTGCGGAATATATATCAACATTTTCCTACGAATACACCGTGTCCATAATAACCACTGTCCTGTGACTTGAAGCACGCTGTATTTTAAAGTATACATGATATAGTATAAATGTCACTGCGGGAAGAAAATTAAAGCAAAATTTGGCGCCTACGCGTGTAAGGTTAGTGCGACGTCTTGACGTCATTTCCTGTATATTTAAAGACGATGTGTTGAACGGTTGTTTCGCAGCAACGTTAACCTCTATCAATCGGAACATCCTCGGCTATTATCTATAATAATCTCGCAAAAAATACGGATTGAAAATAGTTCTACCACGTGGTTTTGTGGCAGGTTCTTATTTAGTGGTCTAAGCCCTATTTATTATTTGTTATTTAGTTATCGTCAACCTTGGTTTTATCTCTATTCTGATTGTTTGATAAAATCACTCATTCAAGTAGAGCGCGGTGTTTGATAATTTTGTGGAGGACATGTTAATTGTTTTTGTGGAAATGTTTTAACTATTTGTCGTTTACTTTGGTATTGTAACAATTATTACGAGTTACGGCCCTTTAATATTAGAACGCCATTTGCACGTTACAAACGTAAACACTACGTTCTGAGTATTATCATATTTTACAAGGTTAGTTTGCTATTATTCTGTTGTAAACAATGATGTGAGTATTTCTTTGATGTCATTACAATGTAAAGTATAAATAGTTTTTACTAGAATGTTTTAATTGGCATTACTTGTAATGCAGACTATATGATCTATTTAGCATTATTAGCAGGTGCTCGTTTCTGTATAATTGTATTGTAAGTTGATTAGCCAATCATAAATAGCCGTAAGAGGGCGTTGTTGTGCAAAGCATATATAAGCAGAGGAATTCAAGGTGAGTTTTAGTTTTTGTTGGTGGAAGTCAGAGTGTCAACATCTAATCTTGGAGCTTTGAAGTTATACCTGCTATATATATTATCTGTGATCCGTGTTCTCTAGGGGGCAACGCTACCGGAGAGGATTACAGGTTTTTATATGGTAGAAAGTAAACCGGGCTGCAGGATATTTGTTGGATAACTGTTTGGAGATAAATAAAACAAAGGTATAGGAAATACGAGTATAGTGTAATAGGCATAGGCACCGAGACGGGTTATATTAAGAGGCATAGAGACTAGGGATCGAAACTAGGATTTAGGATTGTTATCAAATATAACAATATTGTTTTGTTTATATAATATTTATTTAATTCAAGTTGATTAATTTATATCCCAATTATTTTGAAATCATTGGTCTTCAATCATTTAGGTAAGGAAACCTAGAGAAAAATCATTAATATAATATATTGATTATAAATACGTATTTAAGCTCGGTACACGTTACAGAATTGGTGGCAGCGACGGTGGGATAGATCTATTATTATTTATAGATAAAACACAATCACCAGTGTTTGCCCACATTTGAAGAGATACATTTTAAAAGGTACGTTTTATTTGTTATTAATAGAAAAAAATACTATAGAAAAATGGCCGAGGGAAATCAACGTTCATTGATAGATGATGAAGACATGGAGATTCGAAACAGAATTTTGAAGATGGAAAATGAGAGTCTCAGACTACAACTTGAAATGGAAAGACTCGAAAATCGACTTAGCTTCATGACATTGTCATCAGCTTCTTTTGACACGTCATTGACCACAAGACATAATGATAGTTTACAGATAAGAAATTCAAATCAGATGAATAGACAGGAACAACAAAGAAGTACACCTATAAAGAAAGATCAGTCAACAGAGACAAATGAATTTGATAATGAGAGGAACGTATCGTATAATTTGCCATCAGGTATTCATACCCCAAATAATGAGGAACATGATATATTAAATGTACATGAAAGAAGCGAGGCATGGGACAGATTTGTAACAAAAAGGCCAAGAATTCGAAATCATAATGAAAGTCATGATGGTTTGAAGTCTGAAAGAAATGCAGTTTATATGAAACCAGCTACATTTGATGGCTCGGGCTCTTGGACTGATTATAAAGCACATTTTAATGCATGTGCAGAAATTAATAAATGGACAGATGACCAGAAAGGTTTATATCTAGCTGTATCGTTGCGTGGACAAGCACAGGGCGTATTCGGTAACTTAAGCGGTGATAAGCATAATTTTAGGGAACTTGTTACTGCTTTGGAAGAACGTTTCGCACCGCCCAATCAGACTGAGTTATACAGAACACAGCTCCGAGAAAGACGTCAGAGAGCTGCAGAGTCATTGTCAGAAATGGGTCAAGATATAAGGCGATTAACTAATTTGGCTTATCCTTCAGCCCCAGCAGATGTTAGAGAAGTGCTTGCCAAAGAACAGTTTATTGACTCACTTATTAGTACAGACATGAGGCTAAGAATTAAACAGGCTCGCCCATCAAGTCTTAATGACGCGGTGAGACACGCCGTTGAGTTGGAAGCTTTTAACAAAGCTGAGCATAAAACTGCGGATAGACGAAACTTTATCCATTCTATCAACCGATATGATACATCGAAAGATAGAGAAAACAATGTATCAAATCAATGCCAACAATTAATGAAAGAGGTTCAGAACCTTATACAAAACCTTAATCGTAATAAGTCATATGGCACACAAGCTTATAGGCCAAAATATAATAGTCATTCAAGTAGTTCTCATGAAAATAACAATGCTTTTAATAGGTCTAGGTCATTTAAGCAGACGTTTAGATGCCATGAATGTGGGGAACAGGGTCATTATAGATATAAATGTCCGAAAATTAAAAATCAGGGTTTAAGGTCACAAGATAAAGACGATAGCCATAATGTTAAAAGAACAAGCAATCAAGGTTCTGGGTTATATTTAAGTGCAAAGGTTAATGACTGTATGGCATCATGCTTAGTAGATACAGGTGCAACATTAAGCTTAATATCTCACAAGTTTCTAGATATTGTGAGTCCATCTTCAAATCTTGAAAGATATGAAAATAATATCACAACAGCTTCGGGGACACCACTTGATGTAAAAGGACGAACTAAACTGACATTAGATATTGAAGGAAAAAGGGTTACTCTAGGTGTTGTGGTATCAGATATTGATGTAGACATTATACTAGGTTTAGATTTCATGAAATTAACGGATGCAAAATTAGATATATCACGTAGCATCATGACTGTAGATGGAACCAAATGCCAGTTGAATTGTACAGGGAAGATAGGTTGTTACAAAATAGTTGTTGCTGAGAAAACAGAAATTCCTGGAAACTCAGAAATGCTGGTACAAGGTAAAGTATTTGGTGAGTCGAAACCAAGTAATGAATCATATATTATTGAGCCTAATGGTAGACCTATTTTAAATGAAAATGGGCTTGTTGCAAGAACTTTAGTGCAAGCAAAAGATAAGATACCTGTAAGAATAATGAATGTTTCCGCAGAACCACAGACTTTGCACCCTGGTACATTTGTTGCACTAATGAGCCCGATAGCACATGTTAGTTATGGTAATGATAAAGGGGATATTTCAATATTGCCAGCCCATCTTAAAGAACTGTATGATCGTACTACAGAGGGTTTGAGTAATATTCAATGTAGTAAAATATCAGAATTGCTTACAAAATACTCCAATATATTTTCTAAGTCTGATACAGATTTAGGTCGAACAGGTATTATCAGACATCAAATACCAACTGGGGATTCTCGTCCCATAAAACAACCATTAAGAAGACTACCAGAATGTATGAATGAGGAAGTGAGAAAACAGGTTAAAGACATGTTAGATAAAGGAGTCATCGAACCGTCATCAAGCCCTTGGTCAAGTGGAGTTGTTCTTGTCCAAAAGAAGGATGGATCTCGTCGTTTCTGTGTAGATTACAGACGATTAAATACTGTAACCACTAAAGATGCATATCCTATTCCTAGAATAGATGAGTCTTTGGAGCAGCTTGCAGGGTCAAAATGGTTTTCTTGCCTTGATTTATGTTCCGGTTATTGGCAAGTAGAGGTTGAACCAAAAGATAGAGATAAAACAGCATTTATGACAAGACAAGG